CCCATGTTTTTCCCGTGTTTCCCATGTTTCCCCGTGTTCCCCATGTTTTTCCCGTGTTTCCCTGTGTTTCCCATGTTTGTCCCGTGTGTTCCCCGTGTTCCCCATGTTTCCCCATGTTTCCCCATGTTTTCCCCGTGTGTTTCCCGTGTGTTTCCCGTGTTTCCCGTGTTTTCCCTGTGTTTCCCGTGTTTTCCCTGTGTTTCCCCGTGTTTCCCGTGTTTCCCGTGTTCCCCGTGTTTCCCGTGTGTTTCCCCGTGTTTCCCTGTGTTTCCCATGTTTTCCCCGTGTGTTTCCCGTGTTTCCCATGTTTCCCCATGTTTTCCCCGTGTGTTTCCCGTGTGTTCCCCGTGTTTCCCATGTTTTCCCCGTGTGTTTCCCGTGTGTTCCCCGTGTTTCCCATGTTTTCCCCGTGTGTTTCCCGTGTGTTCCCCGTGTTTCCCCTGTTTTTCCCATGTTTCCCCGTGTTTCCCATGTTTCCCCATGTTTTCCCCGTGTTTTTCCCGTGTGTTCCCGTGTTTCCCCTGTTTTTCCCATGTTTCCCCGTGTTTCCCCGTGTGTTTCCCCATGTTTTCCCCGTGTTTTCCCCGTGTTTCCCGTGTTTCCCGTGTGTTTCCCGTGTTTCCCCGTGTGTTTCCCCATGTTTCCCCGTGTTTCCCATGTGTTCCCCGTGTGTTTCCCCATGTTTTCCCCGTGTGTTCCCGTGCTGCAGGGTGCTGCAGCTGATGAACCTGACGGACTCGCGGCTGGCGCAGGCGGGCAGCGAGAAGCTGGAGCTGGCCGTGCTCAGCTTCTTCGAGCAGTTCCGCAAGATCTACATCGGGGACCAGGTCCAGAAATCCTCCAAGGTGCGCAGCCGGGCTCCCAAAATCCCGCCTGTCCGGGGATTCCCGGAATCCTGGATTGCCCCAGGATTCCCCAATCCTGGATTGCCCGGGGATTCCAAAAATCCTGCCCTGCCCGGGGATTCCCCCAGGGATTCCCGAAATCCTGCCTGCCCGGGGATTCCCAAATCCTGGATTGCCCCGGGATTCCCAAATCCTGCCCTGCCCGGGAATTCCCAACATCCTGCCCTGCCCGGGAATTCCCAAAATCCTGCCCTGCCCGGGGATTCCCAAAATCCTGCCCTGCCCGGGGATTCCCAAAATCCTGCCCTGCCCGGGGATTCCCAAAATCCTGCCCTGCCCGGGGATTCCCAAAATCCCGCCTGCCCAGGGATTCCCAAAATCCTGGATTGCCGCGGGGATTCCCAAATCCCACCTGCCCAGGAATTCCCGAAATCCTGGATTGCCCGGGGATTCCCCCAGGGATTCCCGAAATCCTGCCCTGCCCTGGGAATTCCCAAAATCCTGCCTTGCCCAGGGATTCCCACATCCCGCCTTTCCTTCCTCCAAGGTAGGGATTTCAGATATCCCGGAATTCCCAGGAATTCCCAAATCCCACCTTCCCTTCCTCCAAGGTAGGGATCCCAAATCCCGGAATTCCCGGAATTCCCAGATCCCACCTGCCCTGGGAGATCCCGAAATCCTGGATTTCCCGGGAATTCCCAAATCCCACCTGCCCTTCCTCCAAGGTAGGGATTCCAAATCCCGGAATTCCTGGGAATTCCCAAATCCCGGAATTCCTGGGAATTCCCAAATCCCGCCTGCCCAGGGAATTCCCAATCTCAGCAGGAAAAAAAACATGAAAAAAATCAAGAAAATCTGGGGGGAAATCATGGAAAATCAGGGAAAATCTGGAAAATCAGGAAAAATCAGGAAAAACTGAAAAAATCAGGAAAAATTCAGGGGAAAATGAGAAAAAACAGGAAATATCAAGGAAAAAAAAAAAACAGGAAAAATAAGGAAATATCAGGAAAATATCAGGAAAATCGGGAAAAATCATGAAAAATCAGGGAAAAAACAGGAGGAAAATCCGGAAAAAAATCTGGGAAAATCAGGGGGGAAATGTTGAACAATTGGGAAAAAAATTAGAAAAATCAGGAGATGTCAGGGAAAACAGGAAAAAAATCAGGAAAAACAGGGGAAAAGTCAGAAAGAAAAATCAGGGAAAAATCAGGAAAAATGGGAAAAAATCATGGGAAAAAACGGGGAAATCAGGAGAAAATCAGGAAAAATATCAGGGAAAATCAGGAGAAAATAGGGGAAAATGAGAAAAAATCAGGAAAAAATCAGAAAAATTGTGAAAAATCAGGGAAATTGGGGGAAAATCAGGGGAAAATCAGAATAAAATCACAAAAAACAGGAAAAAAAACAGGAAAAAATCAGGGAAATCAGAAACAAATCAGAAAAATTGGGAAAAAATCAGGAAAAAAACTCGGAAAAATATCAGGAAAAATCACCAAAAAACCACCAAAAAATCAGGAAAAAATCTTGGAAAAATCAGGAAGATATCAGTTAAAAAACAGGAAAAATCTCGGAAAAATATCAGGAAAAATCGCCAAAAAATCAGGAAAAAAATCTTGGAAAAATCAGGAAGATATCAGTTAAAAAACAGGAAAATCTCGGAAAAATATCAGGAAAAATCAGGAGGAAAAAAAAAAAAAATTGAGGAAGAATCTGGGAAAAACCAGAAAAATATCAGGAAGAATCAGGATAAAACAGGAAAAAATCTGGGAAAAAATCAGAAAAATATCAGTTAAAAATCGGAAAAATCAGGGAAAAAATCAGAAAAAGATCAGGAAAAGCTCAGGAAGAATCAGGATTCCTATGGATCGAGGGAACGCCGGGGGAGCAGGGAATTTTTGGGATGCTTCCCGCTTTTCCTGGCACTGTGGGAAGATTTTTCCGGGTTTTTTTGGCAGCTCTACCGGCGGCTCTCGGAGGTGCTGGGGCTGAACGACGAGACCATGGTGCTGAGCGTCTTCATCGGGAAGATGTGAGTGCGCCCGGAATTCCGGGAATTCCGGGAATTCGCGCCGGGAAAAGGCCCCAAAATCCGGGAATTCCCCCGGCGCCCGGGAGGGTTTTCCAAAGGGTCCAAAATGCCCCAAAATTGCAGGAAAATTCCAGGGATTTCAACAAAAGTCCGCAGAAATTCCACAGAAATTCCACTGAAATTCCACTGAAATTCCGCAAAAATTCCACAGAAATTCCGCAAAAATTTCACAGAAATTTCACAGAAATTCCACAGAAATTCCACAGAAATTCCACAGAAATTCCAGAGAAATTCCGCAAAAATTTCACAGAAATTCCAGAGAAATTCCAGAGAAATTCCACTGAAATTCCGCAAAAATTCCACAGAAATTCCACAAAAATTCCACTGAAATTCCGCAAAAATTCCACTGAAATTCCGCAAAAATTCCAGAGAAATTCCACTGAAATTCCGCAAAAATTCCACAGAAATTCCGCAAAAATTCCACTGAAATTCCGCAAAAATTCCACAGAAATTCCGCAAAAATTCC